GGGGGGGGGGGGGGGCAGGAGACCCCCTGCTTTCCCCAGCTCCCCAAATCTTTGCCCTCTTGCTGTGCCGGCAGCTGGGAGCGAGCTCCCTGTGCCAGATCGGATGCTCTGGCATGAGGCAGGAGCTCATTTCGGTGCTGGGAAGCTGGAGCAGAGGGCAGGGCTTGTGTTGGGAGGGTGGGTAACCCCATTCTCTGCCTCCTTACAGGGCTGGGGGGGGCATCGGCCAGTGCCGCACCCCTGATCTCCTTCAACGAAGCGCTGCAGTACTTCCAGACAGCCGACCTCTCCGAGTGCAGGGTATGGGCAGGGCCCCACACTCTCACCCTCCCTCGGGGCTGTAGTTTTAGTAAGTAGGAGAGGGGAGTGTGGCAGGAGAAGCACAGCGCTCCCCTCTTTCCCTTCCGCCTTCCCTCGGCTCAGTTCTGTGCCTGATCCCATCCCTCCCAGCTCGCTCACAGGTTTTCCTCCTGCTCCATTCCCCAAGGGACTGGCCCCGATCGTTTCTTTGTGTGTTTTCTCCTCTGCAGAAGAAAGTCCGGGCAACGGTGCGCAGGCAAGGCCTGGCTGCTCTGCTTCACTTCCTCTTCGGTCCTCCCCGGCTCCAGCCGCAGCTGCAGGGAGAGCGGGAGCTGGCTCTGGCCATGGCACAGTGTGAGTGTCCCCTCTGTCCCTACACCAGCCGCTCCCCAGCCCGGCCGGTGTCACCTTCATCCCAAGAGCTTCGGGGAAAGTGACTCGAGGGGGGCTTGGGGGTGTAGTGGGGTCTCCACCTGCTTATTCTATGGCAGCTGCTTGTCCCAAAAGATGCATTTTCCATCACCTTTGCTCCCCTGCTGTGGACACACTCACTCTGTGTTGGGATTGATGGGTCTCTTGCCCCCGTGCCGTGGTGCCGCCGTACCCATTCCACACTCACACCGTGATGCAGCACCGGGGAGCTGCTCCGCCGCTCTACAGCCCCTCCTGCTCCTCATGGCCTGGTGGTACCTCAGCGTGGGGTGTGTCGTGTCTGGCTTCCCGCAGTGCATCGCATGTGCTGAGCACGTGGAAGCTCCTTGTTTGTGGGTTGCTTTTGGCCGTGATCCCCCAGGCAGTGCTGCTTTGGCCAGCAAAACTTTACACGATGCCCGAATTAGTCATCACCCCTGCGCTCATACAATACGCAGTCGTATTATTTGTGGCTTTGCACCTCCAATATATTTTCCTTTCCTTCCTGTCTCCCCTCCAGCAGGATAAACACAGCTGGGACATTCTCCTTGTCACCATAAGCTGCTCTCAGCTGCCAGATTTCACTTCCGACTGGGCTCTGGAAGTGAAATCTTTACCCTGCAGCTGATGGTGGTTTCTTTCCCCACCACATCTCTGCACCAGCGCTCAAAGGCAGGGGCAGGGATGTTGATGGACGTGTTTTGGCTGCTGAGGAGTGTTTTCTCTCTGCCAGGTGGTTTGGATGATAACGAGAGAGTGCACATGAGAATCCTGCAGACCATTTATAAGAAGCTAACCCGCTCCAGGTTGGGCTGCCCACGCTACGGGGCGCACTGGGAAGATCTTGGCTTCCAAGGTAGGGCAGAGGGAGAGATCTCGTGGAGGGGGAAACTTTGCCAAGAGAAGTCACGCTGGTCTCGTTCCCTCCTCAGGACCCAGAGGCAGTAGAAAGGGTTTGCTGCTCCTTCCCTCTCCATTCATGCAGCCGCCATCCCTGCTGCTGTTTCATAGAATCACTGAGGTTGGAAAAGATCTTTAAGATCATCAAGTCCAGCTGTTAACCAGCCCTGCCAAGCCCCCCACTCAACCACATCCCTTAGTGCCACATCTACACGTCTTGCAAATACCTCCAGGGATGGCGACTCGACCACCTCCCTGGGCAGCCTGGTCCAGGGCCTGACAACCCTTTTGGTGAAGAAATCCTTCCTCAGAGCCAGCCTGACCCTGCCCTGGGCAGCTTGAGGCCATTCCCTCGGGGCCTGGCGCTGGGGCCTTGGCTCCAGAGACTCATCCCCCCTCTCGGCCCCCTCCTGGCAGGGAGTTGCCGAGGGCCAGGAGGTCTCCCCTCAGCCTCCTCTTCTCCAGACTGAACCCCCCTAGTTCCCCCAGCCGCTCCCCAGCAGACCTGTGCTCCAGACCCTGCCCCAGCTCCGTTGCCCTTCTCTGCCCACGCTCGAGTCACTCAATGGCCTTTTTGGGGTGAGGGGCCCAGAACTGAACCCAGGAATCGAGGGGCGGCCTCCCCAGTGCCGAGCCCAGGGCTCAGATCCCTTCCCTGTCCCTGCTGGCCACGCCAGGGCTGGTACAAGCCAGGATGCCACTGGCCTCCTTGGCCCCTGGGCACACTGCTGGCTCCTGTTCAGCCGGCTGGAACATTCATCATTTAATCTTCACACTGAGATTTTTCAACAATATGAGTGCCCTGCAGGGTGAGGTTTTTTTCCCACTTTTTGCCTCTCAAATCTGAAAGAGGAGCAGCCGTGGAAGTTCAGAGGGCTGCTGTGCCATGGTGGCTTGAGGTGGGTGACAAATGGGGACGTTTCTGGCTCCCCAGGCTCGCTCTTGCTGTGCAGTGTGGTTGCGCAAGCCCTGTTTGTTGCGTGGGGCGCAAGCAGAGTCACCGACATTCTGCTTTCCATGGCGAGCACTAAATGAACCAGCGGGTTGTTTACTCCGGAGGAGACTGATGTCAACAGAGCTGCCTGGATGCGCCGTGCTAATGGCTCCCTCTTAAAACCGGGTCCAGCTGTCGTGGTCAGGCTCAGCTTTGATCCGCTGTCCTGGGGGGGATCTTGAGGGGGGAGCTCAGGCTGATGCTGAGCTCTGGGGGTTTTGGCGAGGAGCTTTTTGTGCTCTCATCCAGAGCAAAACCTAATTGTGCCCTTTCCTTTGGGGACACCAGAAATAAGATATAGGTCAAAACCTGCACGCTGCATCCCTGACCCCGTCCTGTCCTCATGCGTTTCCCTTTGACCTTGCAGAGCTGGAATTATCCGCCAAAAAGAAACCGAAGCGGCTCCTGAAATCCCTGGAGGCCTACGTGAACCAAAGCCCCGCAGCTGACGGCCTTCAGCAACCGTCCTCTCCCTCCGCCTCCCTCGGCCAGGAGATCCACTTCACAGGCGTTTGTGACCTGCAGGTTGAGCTGGAAGGAGAAGCCCGACTGATCTGAAGGGCGCCGCGGGGAGCTCGGCTGGCGGAGGACGCGTGGCCGCCACCTGTGCTTCGGCTTCGGGGACTCAGGAAGGGCCCTGCAGGTCGCGGTGGGCAGCGCAGAGCAGTGCGGGGTGGCCGCTGTCCTGAGAAGGGCCCGGGACCGAGCTGAGGGCGGTCAGGAACCTGGGATGCCACAGAGGGTATAATGTTTTTGCCCCAACCCCCCAGAAAGGGTGGCCTGGTTCTTCCCCCTCTCACCCTGTAAGTGTCCCGACTGCAGTGTCGGCATCGCTCGGTGCTGTGGGAGTAAGCCGCAGGATTTGACCCTCTCCAGGCAGGAGTCTCCCAAAAAAAGAGGAGGAAGATGTGGTAGAGCAGGTGGGTTTTATGAGCCACCAGCCTGCGGGCTGGGATAGTCTGTCTGTCTGTCTCAAATTCACGCTCCCGTCTGTCTTTACCCCCAAGAGGAAAGTTCAGTGACGCCCCAGGTGGAGCTGGAGCACGGTGACAGGGCTCCTGAATGCGACTGTGGCTCTGACAGCACCTGGGGGGGGTTAACCCCCCATGTTGGGCTGTGGCACCTTAATTTCACGTTGGTGGGGTAAGAGCACAAGCACAGCCCCGTTGCTGGCGCGGTGGGGGCAGGTCGTCACCCAGGGTTTGGGGAGCCCCCCTGAACTTCCCTGGGGTGTTACTGTGCATGTCGGCACCTAAATAAGTGAATAAAAGGAGGAAAAAAATGTTTTTCTTGATGTAATGGAGAGTTTTGGACTTGGGATTGCTTCTGGGGTGGGGGGAGAGGGTTTCTGCTGGTGGAGGGTGACTCCGGAGAGCGAGGAATGGTGAAGGGGGCTCTGCCTGGCACCCAAATTTGGGGTTCAGCAGCAGAAAAGCTGCTCTGGAGGAGAGAAACCAGAGTCAGATTCTGTCCTGAGTGCCCAGGGCTCCGCAGAGGGGGGAAAGAAAAATCCCTCCCAGCCTCCACTTCTGCTTGGTTTTGAGAAAACCTCATTGAGAAGGAGACAAGGCTTTTGCTTGCGGGTTTTCGGAGGCCAAGGGGCCGTTTCTGACCACGCTCCCTCCTCTCCCAAGCCTCCATGACTCAGTTTCCCCCTTTACAATTACAGCCCTGGGGACAAGCTGAGAGTGGTAACAGCGGCCACGGGCCTGATGTGAGCGTCAGTGGGTGCTTGGAAAAGCTCCAAAAACATCTTCAGCCCTCAAATGAGGGGAACAAAAAATAAAAAACAAAGAAAGACCAAATTCCGGAGCTCAAAGGTGTGTTGGAACGAGAGACGCGAGGAGCTGGTGGTGCGGAACAGCCCTGCCCGCTGCCCGCTGCCCTTACCCTCCACAATCACCTTCCGGCTGATGGGCCCGGAAAACGCTGCCCCGGGCTGAAAAAATATCAATGAAGGGCAAAAAGGAGCCTGGTGCTGCTTTTTTTTTCTCTTTTAATTCTGAATTACTGCGTAAATCATTTGGGGGTGTGGGAGAAGGCAGCCGGGCTCGAAAGAAAAACACCTTGGGGGTGATTTAGGGGGGGATGTGGGGAGAGGGGGAGTCCCTGGGGCTGGGGGTTCTGGGCCTGGAAGAGGAGGTGGGTGCTGGGGGGGATACAGGTACCAGTGGGTGGGTGCTGGGGGTGGATGCTGTCTCTTATAC